ACAGGTACTGAAATAATTGGACATTAAGCTTTAAACAGGAACAGGAATACAGACCTATGATCCTGGAGACACTCCAACAGAGGCTGTGATATTTTGCTCAAATTGTTTGCCTTGCTTTAAACAGCAGCATGTTGATCATTCTCTGTCCCTATCCATCGGGCAGCAACAACAGTGAATGGGAATGAAACTCAGAGATAAGTCTGCAAATTCTGACGTACAGGCAGCAACTTGCTAAGCTCTGATACTCGGTGCTTGAAGTAGCTGTGCCCTGATGCACTACTCAGTTTTGCTGTTTTCTAATTCTTAGAGCACAAGTCAGAAACCAGCTGAACACTTCAGAACATTTTAGCATAAACCTCCAGCGTCAGGCTGTGAAAAAGCAAGCCACTTTGGACATTGTCCTGTTGATTCATCAGTTCCTTATTTGAACAACAGTCAGAGCGAGCCTCTGTTGTGGGGCAACCTGTAACAGCATCACAACCTGTAAAACTACGCTTATGCATACCAACACTGACAGCAAACAAACCCATAAAGCCGGCAACAGACTTTGCTGGCAGGTTTCTCAAGCATTTTGCTGTTTCTGACAAGTGAGCTGTACCGAATGGTTAAATATTTTTCCCTTGATACAGCTGCTATTTAGGTAATGTTTCATTTCTTGAGTCTCCCCACTGACATCCTACAATAATAAAATACTTGAAAATAGATGCAGAAGGTTCGATCTGCAGAGAAATATCTTTCATGGAATAACAGAAGTCTGCAATTTTGTCACGTGAGCCTGTAACATCATTACCAGGACAGATGGAATCTGTCTAACAAATGTCCTCAATAAAGTATTAATACTTCTCCACTGTCACTTATTTCCAGAGTCTAGCAGGGCAGAACCAGTATGAAATTGAGGGAGAATTAATTAAGCAAAGAGAAAATACCTTGTGTAAGAGAATGTGAAAAAACTTTAAATATATAACGATTCAGTATTTAAACTGACTTGCAAGAAGTTCTCACAGCTTGAGAAGTAAGCTTTAGATGGAAAGCTACGTTCTACAACTGTGCTCATAACACAGTACATTCCTGAAGAAGTTCCACATGAATTACTGACAGCATCTGAAGGACTCATTTCTTAAGCCTTTACATTGCTATCAGTTTATGTGCAGTTTTAACAGTGTAAGCGGTAAGGACTTCCAAGAAGTCCCTGAGAGATAAAGGTTTTCTAAGTCTAATGCCACAAGCTACCATGGCAGATATATGCAGACATCCTGTATCTGTCTCCATGTACATCCATCCAAAACCCAAAGTTGTGCTTAAGGTACAGCAGCTGTACATACGTATACTGAATTTGAGATGGCTATGATACAAAGGTATCCTGAACAAACCTTCTCTGCAGGATATACTTTTGGGGACGCCAGCTCCTTACATGCCAATAGCCTTATGCGGACAACAGAGCTGCTGGAAGCACAGAGGCGGCGGCAATCCATTCAGCTTATGAACGAATGATTCCTTTTGTATTACATCATTCAGCTACCCATTAAGGAGCTGGACTGACAGGATCCAGAATACGCGCAGCCCAGCCCTCCACTGCAAATGAGTGTTAGAAAAGATTAAGGCTCAAAGAAATTGGTGATTCATCAGGGCGTCCAAACAGCATTTCCCCAATTCTCTGCAATGTTCTAGGCTAAATAGCTGGCCACATACTGGTAACTCCGTCAGACTTCCTATTTTGGAGTTAATTGCTGTTCCTGAAACACATAGCCAGACACAAAATACCTGCAGCAGCACACATCACAGAACGCCGTCACAGCTATCCTAATCACAAAATTATGCCGTGTTACAGTCACACCTAATTTAAGTACCCCTGTTCTCTGCAGCTATTACTCTGTGGCACCTGCTTCCTAATGGGGGGAAGCCACTCTCCCCTTGGAAAGGGCACAGAGCAGCAGCACGGACAGCAAACAAACATGAAAGACCAATGAAAAAAACAGATCTATTCTTGGCTCCAACACTTCACAAAAACTTCAGATACGTGAGCTGTGAACCAGCTGACAGAATATTTCTCTTTTACAGCTCTTTGAAAGTTGCTAAATGTAAATGAATGGCGGGTACAAACAAAATAAAAATCAACTTCTACAAACTTCTTCAAAATTACTGTTCTAGGATAATTTGTATTGTCAGACAAAACCTCAGAAATACATGCTGTTGTAACAGAAATGGGTCTTCAATTATCCAGTTTGCACAGCATCAAATTACTTTTATTGACCTGCTGAAATATCACTATTGCTAGTTTCATATTCAGATAAAGTGCTTCACAAGCTCAGTATTTTCAGGTTCTACTGTTATGACTTACTGGCTTGCCCCAAATTTAGCACAAGAAGGCTAAAAGCTTTGGAGAAGTTAGCCTTCACATTTCCAATTTCCTTCTTTGTAAGAGCGGATTGAGTGTGCTTGCAGTTTCTTTCTCGAGAATATCACATAAAACAAGTATTATTTTAAACCTGGAGTTTTAGATAATCTTCCCCTCACTAATTTGATGACCGGGTTTACCTTGTGAGAAGCCATCCAGCTGGCTAGCTCTTTAACCACTCCAGCTCATATAAAACAGATCTATGTCATAAAACATTTTAGATTCAGCACACGCACACTTTGCTTAGGGAACATGACTGCTTAAATCCCTTTCCTGAGCCTTTTACTACAATAGCAGCTTTTAATCATCTTCTACACAGCTCTCCACATACTATTTCCTCTTACAAAACTGCAGGGGGAGGGGTTAATTTTCTTCCTTACAACGTTCAATTTTGTAACATCCTTCCTTTCCACTCGCACCTGTGTTCCCATTCTGAATGCAAACTACAGGATAGTTTTAAGGCTCATGTGAGTTTAATACTAACAGTTACACGCAAGAATAAATGCAGTCATTTCTAAGAATTACAGTGACCTGTTGTCTGAAGACATCACAATACATGGAAATGTTAAAGAATCGAAAGATACGTATCTATTATATAGATCACTTTTAACAGAACGAGCATCTTACATCATAAACCAGATCCTCATATACACACACGCAAAAAATTGCGCTTCCTAAAGTCTGCTATTCCCCAGGTTTGAAACTGTGCTTCCTTGCTTTCTTCACATGGCCTTTTCTGCCCTTTCCTGAGCACCAGGGACAGCCTTCTTGACACCACATTCCCTAGATACCTTGACAGCCACCTCTGCATCTTCTTTCAAAGATCTCCGAGAGAAGGATGCTGTTCTTCAAAATCAGTCAGGCCGCAGCCCTTGAATAAACCCACTTCTTCCAACACAAACAGAAAGCATGAATCAAATGCTCCATGCACTCACTCGTATTGTCCAGCTGTAATCTTCACAAATCTGATAAATATGTATTCAGGAATCACAGAATTAAACATTTTAAGCACTGAAGAGCCAGAAAGCAACCTGGTTTAAAAACATATGAACTCCTGGAAGCTCTACACCCCATTACTTTGTTCTTTACAACTCCTTTATTACTACTTGTCACTTCAGATTTGTCACGCACCAAGGTGAGAAATATCTCTTCTGCATCTAGAAGGTGCATTTTGGTAGGCAATATACTCAATATTTAAGGAAGCTCATATGGCTGTGCCAATTAAGCTCGCTACTAATCTAAAAGAAAACCTCTGCCAGATATGTTACTTAAGAAACACAGCAGCATATCTCCCCAGCACATGCAGATTACACAAAGGTAAGCTGGTATTTATTTTGCACTTCAATAAAATAAACAAAGTAGTTAATTTCACTTGAAGCTAAAATCAAAGTTGGAGATTGCCTGTAATCACTTACTTCATATCTCAAAAGAAATTAAAAAGAAATCAAAATCCTGAGGTCTCCACCATCTTGCTCTGCACTGAACTAGATTTGAGTTCCAGCCACAGATCTAAATGTACATATTACACATAAATCACCGATGCCTTTCTACAGGCATATTTGTATTAGAGCAAGCCATAAAAAGCAACCAACACAGAACACACTTGGGCTGATCTCTTTGTTCGTTTAAGGCATACATGTGTAAACAGACACACACAATAAAAAGAATTACAGGGGAAAAAATAAATCTATTCCCGAACATTACTTACAAGTAAGGACCCAATTTAATACTAAGAAAATTTGTAATCACTTATCTGGGAATATCCTAGAGATCAAATGTTTCCTAAAAACTTATTTATACAAACCTTATATTTCAGTGGCAACAAGGAATACCACTCCTTCTTCAGATATGAGCCCAATTAAACACAACACTGATTTTGGCTATTTGCATAAACTGCATACCCATAAAAATGGCAGCACACCTAGTAGAATAAAATTTCCTGTAGACATTACGTATAAAAAAGCACTCTATTTCTGTATTCACCACATCAGGCCATACCTTATTTTTCTTCTGCTGTTCCCTGCCCACAACACATAATATCCAATAGAAAACATCAATGCCATTCTAATCGCCAGAGCGAATAAGCTGATTAGTTCCATATCTTAAGAATTAACTAGAAGAACAGCTTCCAAGTCAGCAGGAAACAAGTGAAAGTTCAGCTGATAAAAAGTTCCAGATCCAAATCAAAATCCTGGAATTGTGAAATCCTAACAAGTTAGGAAAAAGAACAAAACACACTTTGACCTTTTAAAAATTATCCAATCCTTTCAAACCAGGTAAGATTTACATAAAAATTAAACCACGTGAAAGGTTAATGCTTTGCAGCAATGATCCTGAGGCACTGCTCTAAGAACTTCGTTGAAGATTCAGATGTGGCCACCAAAACCAGGCCAGAGCCAGACACGAGGCTGGAAAACAGAACTGCTACAATTTCACCCCAACTGTGACTCAAGTTTAAATGGCGGTTTGGAAACCAACTCTTTCTGTGGCCATAGGCAAGCCTTAACCACTTCGCCTCAATTCCATTACCTGCAGAATATAAATAATTATACTTATCTGCCACGGAGGAATCTCGTACAACATTGTTTGGCAAGCACGCATCTGTCTAAACAGTGGGCAAAGCTACGTAGTAATTTCGAGCATCTGCACAAACTGAAACTGAGAGTGAAAACAACTTGACGGCAGCGGCCAGCAAAGGCCCAACAACAAGAGAATCCCAGGTGCAAAACACGCTCCGTGCGGCGACCTCCTCCCGCGTTCCGTAACCCGCACGGCTCCGGCGCAGCCCCTTCACCTCTTCGGGGCGCAGCTCTCCGTCAGGGGTTGGCACCGCCCGCGCCTGCCTCGCTCCAGCCGCGCTCCTCGGGAAGGGGTCACGGCCGCGTCGCGGTGCCTTAGGCCCGCCCTCCGGCGGCACCCCGCCGGCCTCACGGCAGCGCTCCCCCGGCTGCCTCTCCGTCGCCGAGGAGGCCGGGCCCGGCGCCTCGCCCTGTCCCGCCGCCAGCCAGGCCCCGAGCCGGCGGCTGCCTCCTCCTTCGCTTCCTCCTCCTCCTCCTCCTCCTCCTCCTCTTCCCGCTCCCCCGGGAGCCGCCTCGGGTAGGAAGATGGCGGCTCCGGCCGCCTCCCCGGGGCGCGAGGGGCGGCCCTGGAGGGGCCCGCGGTCCCCGGCTCCGCCATTCCCCTCCCGCCGCAGATGGGCCCCGCGGCCCCTCGCGCTCACCTGTCGCAGCCGCCGCCGCCCTCGGGCCGAGCCTCGACGGGGAGAAGAGGGGTGGGCGCAGGGGTCTCCGCCGGGCGCCGGGGCCTCTCGCCGCCGCCGGGCTTTCCGCTGGCGCCGGGGCCTCTCGCCGCGCCGCCGCCGCCGCCGGGGCCTCGCCGCCGCCGGATGCCGGGAGGAGGAGAGCGGAGCAGCGGGGCGGGGCCGGGACGAGGCGCGGGCGGCGGCAGCACAGCGGGAGGGGGGGCGCGGGGTAGGAGGCGGCGGCGGCGGCTGCGGGGCCCGAAACGTCTCCGAGCCGAGACTCAACCACCCGCTCGCATGAGAGACCCGCTTCCGGCTCCCGGCGGAAGTCCCTCCTCCGCCGGCGGAAGGGATTGGCCGGCGGCCCCGGGCGGAACGGCGCGCTCGGCCGGCACCTGCGCCACCGGATTGGCGGAGGGGCGCCCCGCGCGCGGCGTGACGGCGGGCGGCACGTGACGCGCCTGACGTCACCCGCTCCGAATGAGCGCGCGGAGGCGGCCAGGAGCCGCCCGCCAGCCCGAGGAAGTTTGGCTCCTCACGGCCGCCGGAGCCGTGGGTGGGGCCCACTGGGAAGCGGGAGATTCCGCCTCGCTTCGGCCGTGCCTGTCCCTGCTTTCGGCGGTGCTGAGACCACAGCGATAGCAACGCACGGCTGCCCGCAGCTCTCAGAGCAGCTGCCGCGGGCAGAGGCAGGAGTGACTTTCAAAGCAAGCGATAAGCTGACGCGGAAGGATTTTAGGAACGTGGAGGGATGTTTCCTCAATTCCTTCTGTTAAGGCGAGCTGAGAAAAACGGTCTATGAGCGATCTAAGGGAGCGTCTCTTCTGTCGCGTGAAGCTGAGGTGAATTCCAGGAGATGCAGATGCTTTTGTTTGACCAAACGTCAAGTCAGCCTTGTCCAAGAGTTTATTTAGCACAGATCTCAATCTGTGCTAACTACGGTTAATTGGAAGAATTAGGGGTTTCTTCTCCCTCCCAGTTTTTGGACTTGCAAAATTGCTGGAAAGAATCGTGTTCTGTGGCTGCTTCCCATCTACCTCATGTGGCAGCGCTGCATCACCTCGCAGCCGGCTGAGGAGATTGGTATCACACTGCTGCCTATCTCCTCATTTCATGGGTGTGTTCCCATAGTGCTTCTGGATCCTGTTTTTAATCCTGTTAACCCTGCCTTCAAGGTATCTGGTAAAAAGTCCCATAGAAACAATGCTGCAGAAGACCTCTCCTTGTGACACACAGTCCTAGAGATAATTTCAAGGTTGCTGTATCTTGCCAATCCGTATCTGGTAGAGGCAGTAAAGCACACCATGGTACCTGAGAGGAGATCGGATCTTGTCAGAGGTGTGTTTTACAAGGAAGTGTATCTCAACGTTTGTTCTAGATCAAACTACTGCTTCTGCTAACATAGGTATTGTTTTCCTTACTAAGTTATTTCAGTTTCCCACAATTGCAATGAGGAAGCAATTCCCACAATTGCAATGAGCAACCATGAATAAAGACATGGCTAGGACAACAGAGACTGGTGAGGAAAAGGAATAAAAGTTAATTTTGAGGATAGATTGCTAGTAGGAAAGATACCCCAAGAAGTGCAGGAGCCATGGCTGATACATTAGATGGTCACCATATATGAAGCATTGATTACTTAAAAGTCTAAAACAGTGAAACAACTGCTGCTCCAAATGCTTTTTTATTTTTTATTTTGTATTTATTTTATTTCAGCAGATTACAGTTCTTGTCAAGGAAGAAAAAGTTAAAGCTTAGATTTCAAAATATGTTTAGCCCCATAATATCCTTCTTCTAGAAGGTCCTCCAGATTCCAGATACATACCACTTTAGATGTACAGACATACCATCTTCTTTTTACACAGTCTAATAGTGATAGGACAAGGGGGAATGGCTTTAAACTAAGAGGGTAGATTTAGGTTAGATGTGAGGAAGAAATTCTTTACTCAGAGGGTGGTGAGGTGCTGGCACAGGCTGCTCAGAGAAGCTGTGGATGCCCCATTCCTGGAGGTGCTCAAAGCCAGGCTGGATGGGGCCCTGGGCAGCCTTAGTTGGTGGGTAGTAACCCTGCTCATGGCAAAAAGTTTGGAACTAGGTGATCTTTAAGGTCCTTTCCAACCTAAGGCATTCTACAATTCTTGTTTCTCCCAGGCCTTACCCCTGTTCAATACATAAAATGGGCATAAAAACAAACCTAAGGCCACTGAGGAGACTGCACTGAATCATTCCTTCAGCTAACTCAAAGTTCTGATTGCAGAGCTCATCTTCCTTTCTGTAACTGGAACAGCTGATGGAGGACTGAAGGAGAGAGAGGTACAGTGACTGATTCCTGTAAAACACCAACACTTAGAGGGATGTAGGTAGGTAGACTTCATTGTGGGTAGAAGTTTTCTTTAGTGGGTAGTTTGTTCTTTTTGATTGTAGGTGTTGTTGTTGTTTTTTTTTTCCAAAATAGATTGATTGTGTTATTAAAGAATAAAAATAAGGTTATTTTAAAAGCTCAGTGTTGCAAAAGTAGTGTTATGTATTGCTAGCCATATTGATATAGAGGTAATGAGTTTATGATTTTTATTTCTTTATTGTTAAGTTTTGTTGTAGTTGAATAAGTCAAGTAGTACACTTTTTTCCATAATGAGTTTTCTACTTGTTAAGTAACTTCTAATTCTCAATGTGAATTTAATGACTGAATGCTTCCATTTTATAATGGCAGATTGATGAGATCAAAGAGATTTGACATTTTTTCTCCTGTATGCTAGTAGCTGAGGAATGTGTGCACAGATGTGAATAAAATATTGCAAATAACACTGTGTGCTGTGTGACAGAAGAAAATCAGCCCTGTTTCTCCTGCAGCACCAGCTTAGCAGTCTGGGAGAAGAACGCATCTCTCCAGGAATGATGTGCTTGGACCTTATTAGTCCACAAAAGTAAAACAAAATTAGACTAACTAGATGTTTCTTTCCTGATCTGTGGTCAAACAGATGTAAAAGGAGCTGTGTAGGTTATTTATAGACACAATGATTGCATTAATTCATTGATTGTTGTTAAAATGATATTTGACAAGACTTTTTAAAAATTAAGATTGCTAGTTCAAAAAAAAAAAAGAGCTATTTGGTATATTTAGGAAGATAGCTCCCTATGAACAGGAATGAAATAGGACAAGATTTCTGCTTTGTGAGGAAGTTGCTGCTTTAGGCTACCTTTTCTCTCTCTTTTTTTTTAACCTTCTGTTTTACTCCTTTAAACTACACTCTAGTAGTTGCTTTCTCAAATGATTTTATACTGCTTATCAATGGAAGAAGGCTTCATGAATTACTAGTATTTAGGAACTGCTGACCTGGAACAGTTGCTTAAACCTGCAAAGCACAAAGTACTTTGGAGTTTGTGAGACCTTACAAATTAAAGAATAATATTTTATAATTCCTGATGCTATTATGCAGCTTTGCAGGGAGAGAGATCTTTTCAAACATACAATCCTAATTGATTGCATGCAATGGATTCTCTCTGTCAGAAAAATAAAATTTAAGTAGAATCCAGTCATTATTCTGCACGGCATTGAGTTATGCTTAGTATTTTAAATATGCAATATTTCTGTGTCAGTACCTTTCATATGTCACAAGTAAATAGTTGACTGTCTGTGTAAAGAAGCAGCCCCTGTGTCAAGCAGACTGCTGTCTAAACAGTCTGAGCAGACATAGGTCAGGAGAAGCTAAATATTTTTTCCAATGGGAGGAGAAGGTAAGACAGATTGAGTGACCTGCCCAGAGATTATGTAAGATATCCACATCTGAGTCACAGCTCTACACAGAATCCTATAGTTCAGTGAATATTCATGCTTCCTTTACAGCTAAATAAATATTAATTACTTGGTAAATTGACAAAAGTCCATTACTGCTTACATAGATCTACAATTCTCTATTGCTTCCATAACTCTAATCATAGGAATTCAACTTGGCTGCAGTGATACTCCAACGCACAGACAGCAGCACCAAGCTGTGTGATTGTCTCGTGATTGACAGCATGAACATGTGCACTTTCTGACTTCTCTGATCAGCTGCTATGTTTGGCAACAAACCTTGTGAAATTGTGCTGTAGGACTAGTTAAGACAAACCATACTTACCAGATCTCCAGCCTTGTCCCTTTGGCATGTTAGTTACATTTTTTTAACGCATAGAGACAACATCAAAATAAGGTTGTGGTGCAGGTACCAGCCATTGTTAAACAGTGGTTTTCATTAATGCAGTGTAAAAAGGTCTAAGCTCTAGATGATAATGATACATATTAAAACCATTGTTAACAGCAGTTCGTTACAAATTTTCAAGAGATGGTTTAACAGTAATAATTACTGTTAATTGTACATAATTACAAGTCTGAGTATTACCATCCTATTTCATGGAATTTACAGTACCACCAAACCAACTAACATGCAGGCCTTATTCTATCTATGCATAGCAGGTCTGCAGCAGGGCCAGGACTCAAAACCACATCTCTCATGTTCCAGGTTTGAGCAGATCATACCGATTTCCATTTAGTTATTGTTCATGTGGGAGAACATTTGGTTCTTTAACTGTTTAACTCATTTTTAAAAGCTAATTATACCTTAATGGGGAATCATATCATTTATAGAGATTTTGTGGTTAGGAATTTTTTGAAACACTCTGACATCAACTCAGATTTTAATGGAAATAAGCACGTTAGCCATTTACTTCTTTGTACTTAGTTTTGTCATTTTATTGCTTCTGAGCATTTCACAATGCCCTTTAAATACTGCAACCACTATGTGAGGTGTGTGCTCACACGTTTATACGTATCTATCCCCAGTCAACAGGCAGCAAACTGAGGCCTGGAGATGTTTGGGTTAACCTTGTAACTGATCCTATGCAAAAGTTGTATTCTGTTGTATGTATTCTGAAAAAAGTTTGTAATTTTGTATTCCTGTCCTCTTTAGCCTTATGCTGAGACTCAAGGAGGACTATATAGGCATATGTTTTTATTTCTCAAACTTTCCTTTTTCAGGCGTTAGGATCTTGAATCATATTTCCTGTTCTTGATCTCATAAATATCAAATCAACTTTTCAGTTGGTTTTTTGTTTTTGTATTTGCTTTTGGAGCAGTTTTATTTCTCCCCTTCTCAGTTATGTTGGAGATCTGTGGAGAAAATTGCATGAAAAATTTCAGCCCATCTGATGAATGTTTTGCAAAGCTACAAATATCACATGTTTCTAGTAATAGAAGGCAAGCTCTATAAAGCTTATCAGTGAGCAAGGATAAAACGGTTAAAGTTTCATAATTTAAAGTTGAGTGTTTGAAAAATAAGCAAATACTTTCTATAGCAGCCTATTTGTGGCACCTTTGTTTCCAGCTATTCAAAAATAAAATGTACTCCTCAACTGAAATTAACCTTGCACTTGGCCATTAGTCCATTTAGCACCAGACTTTTTAATACGACCCAGCCATCATAGCAGAGTATTTGAATATGTAGAAAAAGACCATACCTCAAACTCAAGAAATGTATCTTTTTTTTTTTTTTTTTAACTAAAATGCTAATTATAAAATTATGGTTATAAAACAACAGTTTTCCATGAATCTCTCATGAGTTATATCATTAAATATCATGATGTGTGTTATTAGCATGTAGCATAATTTAAGTCACAGGGTTCTCCTAAAATTTTCAATTTACATTGAGAAATGTGGCATTCTG